TCCTGTCCAAACTAAAATCTAAGTCTGTCTGGTCACTGTAGCTTTCAGGCCAGAGACCTCTTAATCTTTCCCTCCAAAACTTCTCCCTACCTTGATCACTATGGACTTCATCACCTGTTACTCAGACCTACAACCTGGGCATCATTTATAACTTGGACCTTTGTCTAGATCTTGATATCTACACACTGTCTAAATCCTGAAGATCCTTTGTTCATGATATCTCATCCATCCAGAATGCTGCTGGGAAGGGAACTTCCCTAGCTCTTTGCTTCCTTTCACTGCTGTTCTCTGTTGCCTCAAACATACATTTATTGTCTTCATTTTCCAGGGTCTACGCAGTTTATCCCCATCCTACACAGTATCTTTCATTCATTATCAAGATAATGTGTCCCAAACCTCCAATAGGCACATGGTGGCAGTTATTCACTTCTTGTTCACTTGTTAAGCTTTTATGCAAACACCTTTTTACTTTCACATACCACTCTTCATTCTTGGGAGAAATTCTTTGTAAATAACTGCAAAACTCACTCATTCGTCTACAGATATCTCCATAAAATGTTCCTTTATCATCGTGCCTACCTAAAATTTGACAACAGTTGGAATGCACGTGTACCCACCAATACTGTCTCAGTTTCCTTCTATTCATCATCTGTCTGAACACACCTGTTGAGCCATTCCTTACTTTGATTGTAAGGGACCATCTTTTTTGTTTTCTTCTGTGTTTCTCCAGTGCCTTAAGCAAAGGGATTGTGGTCCCCGACTAGGGCTCCTGTGGAGGATGGTGATACGAATAAAGCAGGAGCACTAGTTATTTCTGGCCTTGCATCCCAAACATACTGTGCTATTTAGCAGAGCCACCTCTTTGTTCATAACATACCAAGAGTCTTTTCAGTTCTGTCATCACCCATCAATTAAAGTTCTCCACCTTGCTGCTACAAATGCTGCGCAGATTACAGTAAAGTGTACTGCATAAAGCAGATACAGTAAATATTATTTAACAGCCTCCAGCCTTGTCATGAGGCACTTCCACTTTCCCTTCAGTTTTCCGAAGATGCATAACACTGTATTGAGCAGCTACTCAAGGTATTGTTAAACAGGTCCTTTCCTCCAATTCCAATGATTGCTAAAAGGCTTCATAAACTAGGGGACAGCGGAGGTTAAGCTAGCTCTCCCAGAATAAGTGCAGGAATCACAATACAATTTATACTGGTCCTGGTACTGGGAACAAAAAATATATTTATCTTTTTGGGAAACAGATTTGATCCTAAAGCTCCTGAGAGTATTGGCCTTCCTAGACCATAGTACATTCATATTAAGCTTCCCTCAGTAAACCAGACCTTGCAACACCATATAGAGATACCCTTTTCTGTTGATGAAATCTTAGCAAAGACCTCAGCTTTATTAAGTTTCACCCCAACAGTTTATCTAACAACTAGTTAACTACAATCAAAGACAGCAAGCATCCAGAAAGCTACATAGCCCTGTAATTCTCAATGATGTCTTGCAGGATGACAGCAGTAGCCCTTGTGGTTGATGAATGTCCAAGCACCATGCAGTGGGCAGACAATTGGGATGTGGGAACTGTCCACAGCCCCAGTGCAGTTGGGGAAGCCCACCCACCACCTGGGGGCTGATGAAGTAGAAGAAATAGTTTGTCCAGACATCTTAGATGACCATGCAAACCTCTGGACAGCCTCTCCAGCCATGGAACTGCCAACACCAAACTGGTTGGCAGTTTAGCAGAGTTTGACAAGAGTGGCTAGCTTCAAGACAGCAATGGCCACCTGCTTCTTTGGACTGAGGGTTCGCTACACAACCATGTTCTGGCATGTAATGTGGGGGCCACCCAGGTGATGATGTCCATGAAGGTGTCCTGGCACTAGTGGAAAGTCTGGAACCAGAGTTTGTCATCCCACATGCCAAAGGCAATCTGCTCTCATCAGCTGGTGCTGATGGTGTGTACCCAGACCCTGTGCTCAAGTGTTGAGGTGGCCTTACAGTACCCCAACATTCATGGCATCCAGGATGCCCTCATCTTTGTCCAAGAGGAATTCAGATGAACAGTTCTGGATACTTGGTGGGCGGGGTGCAGAGGTAGGGCAGATGGCTCAGTGCAGGTTGACATATTCCAGGGCCTCCTGCTGCCGTGTCAGGTTCAGCAGGCCATGCATGAGGTACTATATCCTACAGTGAGAGCCAGAGAGCGCAATCATCAGGACCTGCCGCAGCTCCTGGGTCTCCCTGTTTGTGTGTGGGAAGCAGGAAACCATGGAATGGTTCAGGATGGCTGGGACATACAGAGAGGACAGCAGGGTCTTCCAGGAAGGACTGCTAGAAGTAGCATGGTACTCGCAAAGGTGTGGGTCTCAGCATTTGCCTGCTTTTCCATCAGCAGCTGAGGCCAGTACTAGGTCTGGACCAGGGTCTCAAATGGTCAGTGATCTCAAACTCTGGAAGAAGCTCCTAGCCATCACCCCTTCATTGTGAAAACTATCCCTTGATTGTGAGAAATCCTGCCTTTCTGGTGAATGACCACTGTCCTCTGTCAGCCACACCTGAGCATGCCCTGCCTGCCTCGGTAGGAGCTGATGGGAACCTGGGGACCAGTGATCAGAGTGTGGGGGTGTCCTAGCCAGTTATGTCAAGAAGCAGCAGGTGAGCAGGGGGATGGGCTCTGACCCCCCCAGCCCGGGCCTGACTCCCCACTAGATGTCAGCTGGGCCAAGTTTCTGCTGGGCTGGGACTCTCAGCCCAACCCCAGCTGCAAGGCCACCTCTGGTAATTTTCAGCACCTGGCAGCCAGCATGCTGTCAGGAAGCAGCATTGGGGTGGGATCTGAGCCCTACTGCCATGAGGCCCATGCCTAGCACCCCACAGGATGCCAGCAGGGATGGCTGAGCCAGCCCCCTGTGGCAGTGGGGCTCACAGCACCCCCCTTTCACTGAAGAAGTGATGACAGGTGGGCTGCAGGATGGGTTCTGAGCCCCCAGCCTGGATCAGGTGCCCCTCCCCAGACCCCAGCCTGAATAGCTGGGGGTGCAGCTGGGCAGCAATCAGGTTGGGGAGGGTGGGGGCCTGGCCAGCTTCCCCCCAAGCAGGAAAATTTCCTTGGTGCACCATGGCACCAGTGGGGAGGCGGCATACTCCCTGAGCCCTGCCTCCCCACAGCACAGGAATGTCCACCAGCTCAGAAAGCCAGCTGTTTCCTGGTGGGCAGGGGAACACATGTGTTCTCTTCCTCCCTCCATGGCTGCACAGGGAGGAGACTCTCTTTCCTCCTCCCTGCGGCAGACTAGGGGTATGACAAATATCTCTCACGGAACGGTACAGAAGTTCCTTCAATCAGCCTTAAGCAGAACACATTAATCTCAATCCATTACATTAATCTCAACCCTTGATTAGACAAGGGTTACTCTTTCATGCAAGTGGTCATTTTTTAAGCATTGTGCAGCCATGCACTTGTGTTAAGTCACAGCTGAAGAGCATTTTCAGGGGCCAGACTGAGCAAAAAAAATGTCACTTCTGTCAGTACCCATAGTGACAGAACTTAAGAACATATATACAGTATAGCTGGCCCTGTCACTCCAAATGCATACCATCAGCATGAGGATGCCATAAACAAAGAAAAATGAGTGACAGTTGCCATTCAGAAGCTGATAAGCCTCAACAGCCTCTAGTCTGTCATCAACCACTTCAGTGTAGGCAAATGCAGAAAGGTGCTGGCACAACAATTCATCAGATTCTCCAACTCATAAGAGGTCAAAGCTGGATTTGCCCATATGGAGTTTTTGAACTGCAAAGGCAGTTGAGGTCATGCATTTGCCATCTTGTGGCCAGTACATCATGGTTTAGACTAGAGTATCCATGAAACGCAAAGGATACTTCTTTACTGTACACCATACACAACTGAAGTTGATTCATTAACATGATTACTTGGTGGTTGAATAAGGTCCAGGATGCCAGGGTCTTTAGAAACTCTAGCCTGCTCTTCATGATGACACACGGAGAATTAGCATACAGCTAGAAGGGGTGACTATTCCTAACTGAACTATTGTTTCTATCTGTCCATTCCTTGATTTATGAAGCCTTGTGTGGGACACCTGGACACCAGCATGGAGTTAATTATAGGGTGACCATATTATTTTCAAGAAAATCTGGGACACTGCCCCCCGCTTCCCCACATCAGCAGTGCTGCTGCAAGCAGAGGCAGGTGGCAGGGCCACAGAGTGCAGTCTGGCAGGGAATAGAGCAACATGGTACGTGCCCACCCTGGCTCCTCCTGAGCTGCAGCTAGAGGCAGGGGGTGGGCTGGACTGGGCTAGACACCTCTTGGCCCCAGCTCCAACCTGCACCACACCTAACTCCAGCCTGGGAGTCCCTACCAGCCACAGGCCTAAAACTTGGCATGGAGGGGATCCTACCTCACTGAGTCTTGAACCTAGCATGGCAGACCCTACTGTGCCCAGCCCTAATCCTAGCCCAGGGTCACCTAACAGCTTTAGCTCTAACCCAGCATGGCAGGGCTTTATGGCCCTAGCCCAAATCCTAGTCAGATAATACCTAGAGGCCACAGTCCACAACTTAGATCAAGGGGCTCCCTCTATGCCCCCAACTCTGGATTAGAGGATCTTTTTTCATCTATCAGCCACCAATATCTACCTGCTTTTAGTAGCCTGGAGGCCCTGTCACTGTGCTCTCCTACAACAGACTGACTCCCTCTGCCCCTTTCCTGTTCATTGCCTAGCAGACAGGCAGGGCTCAAAAAGCTTTACACACACTAATAACCAGTTCAAGGTATTTTATATGTTAGATGGCTAACAGCTGAAAACTCATGGCTTCATTATCCTGACTGGTGGAGGGGCACCACTAAGAAACAGTTCCCTGCAAACTGAATTTGGGATCAGAGAAACTGGGTTTTACCAAACTTAAAACTTCAGAGTTGGCGCATGCTGATTTCCATACATTAAGCATATTGAGCAAAATAAAGCAGTGAAGATAAATAATGTTTCTAGTTTCCATATTTAATCAGGCAGACAGACAGTATTTATAAAATTAATCTATTGAATTAAAGTTCTGTATAGCATCTTATCAATGATTTTTTCTTTGTTGTATGTTATATTTTAAAGTATCTCTGCACAACCATTTGTGCAACTACATGCTAAAAATCTGCAAATGCACAACTTAACACTAAACAGCACAAAAAATACATTTTGTATCCATTCATATGCAAATTGAAAACATTTCACTTGGCAGGTAAACAATGAAAAGTTATTTTAAAAAAATCAAGCTACAAAAATGCACACATAAAAGTCTTCCCTTTTGAATTTTTAATAAAATACTGCTCTGTATAAGATCTAATGAAAAATTCCAGTACTTACAAAATACTTTATATCTATGAGAAAAAATGAATGCTTAAAGTTATATTTTTTATGAATTAAACAATTGTACAGTTGAAATATAAAACAAAATAGTTGAAACAAGGGCATGGCATAGTTGATGTACACATTACAAGTGGCAGGACATGTGAAATCTAAAAGTAGTCAGCTGGGCACTTAGTAATTCACAGAACATAAAATCAAGACAAAATAAACAATAAGGGCACATGTGAAACATATAGTACACAGCAGATGTAGAGCCACATATTAGACAAATAAGGTATGGCAGTTTCAGGGACTGTAGAAAAAAGATCCAGCTCTTGGCCTGAAAACAGAAACCATTTCATGGGGGAAAAATGGCTATATATACTGGCATTGGAATAGTGTCCTTCATAAACTTTCTTTAGCTATTTGTATACTTGGTGATATTACAAGCCAACCAATCAGCAACTACCTCTGCAACCCTAGTGAATGACACATGAAACAAGGTTTTAAGGGAGGTTAGAACCTCTTTTTAGATCAGAACATATTCTAATTTTCATCACTGTGGGGACATTAATAGATCCTATCTTCCCCTGGCACTCAAATCATAGTACAAGAAACTGGAAGTCTAATGTCTCGTAATCAAGTTAGGAGAAATATTTATACCGGTGTCAATATGATGTCATAGTCCTGGCTCCTTGATAGAAATAACAATACATTGTGAAGGTCAAATTTTCCTTGGTAGAACATTTCTCAAGACACTCAAAGCTAAAAAATGTTGATAGGGTTTTATGATTGTGTACAGGCAGTTATAAAAAGTTTAGAGTAGCAGAGGCCAAGACAACATATATGCAGCCAGAAAATGTAAAATAAAATTTCTCAGACCATGCTATTTCTAGGACAGAATAGGAAGGATAGAAACAGCTAACAAAAACCTTTCACTAGTAGGAGAGAAGAAATAAGACAAAAACTGATTAGGGTAATGAATAAAAAGCCCTATGAAGTAAAATGTCAGTCAAAGGAAACTGGATGCTACTATAGGAAAGTAAAGAATTTAAACCTTGGAAAAATAGCAAGGTAAGAAATTAAAGAAATTATGCCAGTTTTAATGGTCAATGTGAAATCTGCTTGGAGAACATGGATTGAAGATTAAGGTCTGACATACCCTTTAAATCTGCTGGGGTTTATAGGAAAATTATTTTTACTAGGGCAGGCTAGAATAAGGTAAAATTGAGCTGAATATCCAAATATCTGCAGACCAAAATTTGAGACTTTAGAATAAATTTTACCTTAGATCTGCAGAATTCCTATTGCTGTTAATGAGCACTGTATACATGGATCAAAAGTAGCACAGGGTCCTCTGAGTTTTCTCTTGCTTTTAAATGGATTAGCTGCATGAAGTATGAAGATGAAGTGATAATTCCTTTCAAAAGGCAAGTCAAGATTTTTGTGTGTGGAAATTAAGGAATAAGTTTGGAACTCTAAAATAACAATGACAATTTAGCATGTCCTCTGCCACCATATATTCTATCAAGTAATTAAAATAAATATAAAAAGTCAGCTAACAGACAAAACAACGTACAAAAATTCATGCCAAATTACTACAGTCTCTATACGGAAAATTGTAGGAGAGAGAAATTAACTCGAAGGATGTGCATAATTTTGCTCAATATACTATACATACAAAACACCTTTGTGCTCATTGTATAATTTAGAAAATTTCAGGATTTCAGTGGCTTTTGGAGATGTCCATTAAGAGCTTGTTAACTAGTAGAGAAGAATAATATTATAAAAAATTATAGCTAGCAACATATATTAATATACTTTAAAGTGAAGACTTCCATTTGCAAATAGATTTGCAGTCAATGTATTCTCAAGCCAATTTTATGGCATAAATTTACTCTAGTTTTGTCAACAACCCCTTAATTTTGCCATGTAATAAAACTCACCCTGTAACAAAATTTATAGGCATTAATAATATTTAAATTCAGAGAGTTTTAGAATGGCTACCCTTTGGCATAAAACCCAGAAATTACTGAATTTACAGCAAATCCGGCCATGCCACTGTAGCTCAGTTCTAATCATACTGCTTCAGATCATAATGATCCAGAAAGCCAGTATGGAAGTGACATGTAAATAAAATCCTTTTCTTCCTATCATTAAAAAGGAGCTAAAATACAAAAGATCATATTAAGCCAATGTTTAACACCTGACTTACTACTGCCCTTAAATCCTACTCCAAAAACAAGGCAATTCTGAATTAGGGTGGCCACTGTATTATTGCTGTGCACATGGTATAATATGTAAGCCACTGTTCAGAGACTTAGGCAAAATGGATGGTGTGGTGACCTTAATTCAAAACTTCCGAGCTTTTGTCAGTTTAATTCAAGGCCTTAAATGAAAAGCCTAACAACTGACATTTCTCTCACTCTTTATTATATTTAAAATGCTTTCTTTTTAAATAGTGCGTTCCAACTTTTTATAAGATAATTCTATGGGAAGAATTAAAAATAAAATCAATCTAGCTACCATATTTTATTCTGAGGATTTTGGTACGCCAAAATTGACTGCCAGCTTTCTTGCTTTTCGCTTGCTGGAAGCGTTTGGTTTGCTATGAGGAACACTTGACATAGCTACATTGTCTTGAGCAGCTTTTAAAGTTGTTGAATTATCTTGTTGAATATGATCAGAAGACATTGGTTGTTCATTCTTTAGTGGTGCAGCTTGAGGAGAAACCTGGAACTCCTTGAATTCGAAATTTTTCTTGCTAGCAGCCCTTTTTTTAGTTACCTTTAAATCAAATAAGTATTACTGAAGAGATGGTATTTATAAAATCTGCAAAATATACCACGATAAAATCATGCAAAAAGAATGAGCTAGTACAGGGATACTCAACCCCCAATCCATGGGCTAGACTGGGCCTGTGGAGTCATGTAATCCTACTCAGGGGGATCTTGCAGGGCTGCGTATTTGGTAATGGGGAAACAGTAGCAGCATTAATTGCTGCTCCCCTGCTGCCAAATTTCTGGGCTCCTGCAGAGAACTGCAGCCCAAATAGTGTAGCCCTATGCTTTAGATTAGGTGCACAGGGAAGTGCAGGGCCAATCCGGGTGTGCAGAGAAGCGCAGGGCTGAATCTGGGCATGCAGGGCAGGGGCAAAGGGCAGGAAGGGGGTGGTGTGGGCCTAATTCTGGAATACAAGGCTTGATGAAGGCAGTACACAGGGCGCAATCTTGGAGTGTGGGGACCAATCCAGTTCATGCGCTGGCCCCATGCCACTCATCCAGTTTGAGAGGCCAAAAGAGCACTGTTGGGCAGATACCATCTTTTAATTTTGGACAGAAATGCTATATGAGTAAACTATTTCTACTAAATTTTACTATTTTTTGATGAGACAGTGCCCATCAAACTTACCTGCAGAGGTATAAACTGGTTGTGAGTACCAACTGGTACAGTTCCTGTAAGAGGCATATTCCCTTGATAGGAACCAGGATAGTAAGGTTTGCCATGAATTGGCACTGGAGCTCCCCATGGCATTGGATTAAACATGTGAGATGATGAGGGCGTTATATTTGCTGTAAAAATAAATGGTTTCCATTATTCCCTCCAAGCAGGATGGGCAGATTTATAAGCACAGAGTAAACTACACCCTATCTTCCCCCTGCTTTGCTTCTTTCATTAAGGACCCATATTACAACATTTCTCCCTCTAGCTAAGTTCACATCTACACAAATCCTGTTTTACCATTATATGAATACTACATCTGCAGAATGCTCTATGCATGGATGTTGCTACACTGTCAAAGATACATTTTATGTTGGGATGGTAGAATTAGCACCACTAGGAGCAAAACAAGCTAAATTGAAAGAAGCACAGTTTTACTGATGTAAAAACTGCATATACACTGCAGTTTCTGGGAGCAGAACTGTGTTACTTAACAGGACAGTATAATGACAGTCAAGCTTACAAAGCTTTGAAGTGTATTAATTAAAATACTTACCAGTGGGTTGTGTGAAGACTGGAGGAATGGATCCAGGTGATAGCGAAGCTCCAACAGGTTGATAATTTGAAAACATTGGTGGTGCTGGTGGCAAAGGAAAGTTCAATCCAACAGAACTCTGTTTAAAAAACAAATAAATATATGATTAAATAACAGGCTCAATGCACCAGAAGGTGGCAAAGATACCAAAATTCTGTAGAGACTGCCATCCTCACCAAGTGTTGTAAAGCAAAAAGGGCAGCTTTCTCCTTGGCTTCACTTTCAGATTGACACTGAGGTCCATGTATTAATAAGCCATTGGATAATTTTACTTGACAAACCATCATGGTCTAGGAAAATAAGATAAAGAGGTGTTTTCAGGAGAGAGTGTTTATATAATACCACATTCAAGCAATTGGCATTCAGTCAATTTATTATTGTTAAACTGATTTAAATAGTTTCAGAGCTGAAGGAAAAGATTAAGTGAAGCAGTTGCCATGCTGAAAGAGAATAAAAAGGCTAGGACTCTCCAATTTGGAAAGGAGAAAGCTGAGGGAGGAATACTAGAATTAGGGGGCACCTGCTGAAATTAGTAGATGACAGGTTGAAAACTAACAAGAGAAAGTACTTTTTTTTAATCCAATGCACAGTTAATTTGTAGAATTCATTGCTACACGAGGTGGTGGAAGCAGATAGCATAGCCAGGTTCAAATAGGGACTGGATAAATTCATGGATGATCGAGCCAATAATGGCTACTAAACGGAGTGGTTGGAAATGATTTGTCTAACATCTCAACACCTATAATGGTGTACACTGGGGTGGGGTTCTGAATAGGGGACAGATCATTCAAAAGAGACATCCAATTCAGTGCTCTTCCTGTATAGCATCCCCTTCTGCCAATGTTGGAGACAGAATAATGGACTAGATGGATCAGTGATCTGATCCAACAGGGCACTTTTTCCATTCTTATTAAGACAGGCACAACCATTACCATAGGCCAGACACACAATAATTGATTCAGATGCAAAACAGTTTTAAAATATGACAAAATCCTTACAAAACCGAGAAATACAGATACTGTAATTGGAGAGAAACTAGGCAGGCTTCTTCCGGGATCAGCTAAAGCTGAGATGTGTATTAGTTCTGAGGAGTTGGTTCCTGTGCCTGTGGTGACTTCTCTCATATGGCATTTACAAATAATTAACCATCTAATGCAACAATTCAAAACAGATTTTTGGCTACAAGGATGGCAAGGTGAGCAAGACAATCACCCATTTAGAAAAGACTATTTTTAATACAGAGAGAGGTGAATAATTGTCTTTTTTTCTTTTTGCAACAGACAAACAATTGAGCAGAAGACTGCTATTTTATGGGTCTTGATGCCATCTCTATTCTTATCACTAAGTGCAGCTTTAAGGCATCTTTTACAGGCCCCCCAGTTCAAGGGCTAGCAAACAGAAGAGTACATTTAGATTCATAGTTAAATGAACTAGGATTTCAGTGACCACTGAAAACCTTTGGAATGTACGATGTGGTTTAGATAAGGGAAATATCTTTGTAGGAACCACTTAGGGAATAAGTCTTACCTGTGGTGTCCTGAGGAAAGAGAAATCTGGTTGAGACATTCCAACAATAGAACAAATATGAGAAAGTTCTGATACAGGGGTAGACTGTGGACCAAGGAAAGGGTGACCTCCAGCATCCAACACTTGAGGATTCTGAGGGCCTCCGATGTTATAAGGCTTGTTCATGTAAGCAGCTGATAAAAGCAAAAACCCAAACAAAAAAACCAAAACAACACACAACATTGTTAAAAATATTCTAAAACAGAGGTAATAGTTTGAGAATATCAACAAAGTAGTACATTTGAATACTTCCCAAAAAATTAATGTCTGACTTGAATTCATAGATTGTAAGGCCAGAAGGGACCTTGGAAGATCATCAGGTCCAGCCCCCTGCACCAAGCAGGAAAGACAACTGAGGGTCAGGTGACCCCAGAAGGTGACTGACTAGTCTCCTCTTGAAGATTTCCAGGGTAGGTGATTGCACCACCTCTGGAGGGAGCTTATTCCAGTCTGGACACCCTGACTGTGAAGGAGTTTTTCTTAATGTTGAGCCTGAATCGGTCTTCCAGGAGTTTGTGACCATTACTCCTAGTTTTCCCCTTGGGTGCCCTGGTGAACAGGTGCTCACTGAGCTCTTGATGTACCCCCCTAGTGTAGCGGTAATGTTAAATGTTGGCATTTAAGAGCTTACTTAGGCAGCTTAGGGGTTTTCAGGACAGAATAATTAAAGGAGAATATAAAAAATAAATACAATTATATTGTTTGGATTCTGAAAACAGGTATCACAGCAATCATTTTAGTAAGTAGTGACTGAGCTTAGCACAATGTTTGGAATCAGTGATTCTCAACTGGATGTGGTGATATCTTTTGAAGGGTGAAGTGGGATGTGAAGAAGTAAGGTCAGGCTCATCCTACCTGACTATTCCTCCTTCCTCCCCACCCACTGCTCAGTCCCTGTGTGAGGAGGTAAGTGAAAGGTTCTCTCCTGCCCAGCTGTTCCTCCTTCCCTCCACCTTTGTACAAAAAGGTAAGCACTCTCATTAATACACTGGTTCTGAAACAGGGTGACGTTCAATTTATGGAAGTTAGAGATGGGTGCCTTGAGTCTAAAAAGGTTGAGAACCACTGCTCTAAATAATCCTCCTGAGGATTACCTACTCCATGTACCTACCAATTTTTTTTGCTTGCCTATGCTGTGAGGCAGGTCCATGGGAATCTTGTCTATAAGAGGAAGTGGGAACTTCATTAATCAGCAGCTTCACTTCATTCTTGTTTTCTGCGTCAGAGCCATCAATTTTCAAGATTTCTTTAAGCATTTGTGTTCCTTTCTTTAAAAAAAAAAATGTTGTGATAAAGTGAAGTTTAGATAGTACTGCTACCAGAGCAAAGAAAATCCTACATAACAGTAACAAAAAATTGCAAGTTTTGATTTTTAAGAATAGTTATAGTTTACAGAAAGCTGGACTTTAGCCTAAGTAACCATACAATGTTAATTTGTCTTTAGAAAAAAGTCAGGTACGTCAACTTATTAGAATCTCATCTTGTAGATTAAGGGGCATTTAACATCAAAACTCTAAAGCCAAATGGCACAAGCATCGTATTAAGCATTTTCTGTGGCTCATCAGAATTTCCCTAAGTGGAATTAGCCACTTACTAGCAGAAAAATATGAAACTCCATTTTATACTTCAAGCTTTTTTCTTCTATCTATTATAATCCACAGCTTCATAGCTATGCTGCTGTGCAACATCTTGTGACTTCAGAGCACATGTGTTCATAGCATCCATTTGAGGTTTTTCCTTTACTCTAATTATTTCACTGTTGCTTATTAGAATCAATAATATTCTGCCCAATGTGATTTTAATAGATGGTGAGCCACTGGTATGACAGCTGATATGGATACCGTAATACTGAAGTTTATAAACAGGAGTATTAGCTGCTAAGTCTGAAGTGTTAAATTATGACCTAAGGGAGGGTGTCAAAGATTTGACCCATGGAGCCCCATCATTCAGCCCCCTGTGCTACCCTGGGTCTCAGAGTTGACCCACATGCTGGATGCAGTGGGTGCCAGAGTGGCTCCATGCGTGGGGCTTGGGGGACACACTGCATGTGGTGCTCACTCCGGCTGGTTCAGGATCCATACTGTAGGTGGGACCTGCCTCAACTGGTCCAGAACAGGTCCCATATACAGTGTGGATGCCAGGCAGACTGGAAAGGCCACCAAGTACACTGGATCAGGCATACAGAGATGGTTTCATGCGTCAATTCCAGCTCATAGGGCTAGTCCTGCACCATTCTTTGGGTCTGTGGACTGTCCCCATGCCACTCATCTGGCTTGTGGGGCCAGATGAGTTTGACACCGGTGATCTAAGGGCTTATACAATATACAAACCATAACAAAAGACTGTGGAGATAAATGTTCTTCATTTGTGGCTCTTTCTTCCTTGGAATAAGATGACTGCTCTTCACTTTCTTTGGAGATTTTCAAAGATGCTAGAAGACTTTCAAGTTCAGTGTCCTTCTAAAGAACAAATAGAGATAACAATATATATTTTTTGTATTTAAAAAAGTAACAGATGTATTGATTGTAAGAATTAGTTTAATGAATTCAAGCTTACTTCAGGCTATTCAGCTTTTTTCATGGCTGGTCCTATAGTTGCTAAATTTGTGAAACTCTCCTCTTCAAGTCACAGGGAACTATAGAACGTAATGCTTGAGACTATCTAGTTTTCCAACTTAGTATTTAAATAAGGTCAAAAGCATGTTAATCAGTTATCTCTTACCTTCACAGCTATACAGGGCCCATCAAGAGTAGCCTTTTGAAGAACAGGCACATTTGGACTTTCATTTCTCTTCAAAAGCTTAACATTATATTTATTTCCTCCTGCAAAACTCTGAAACAAATTACAAAACTGATTATTGACAGAACAGTTAAATGCAGGTGTGATTGAAACACAACTTGCAAATAGCTTTTCATAAACTAGCACTCATTTGTGAAAGGAACTGCACCCTACTGGAAGTTTATAATACTATCAATGTTTTCCAAATGCAGATATCAGCTTTAAACATCTGATGTCAGAAAAACTACAGAAGTAAGAACAACAAAAGAGATTAAAACAGTTTTCAGGATACTTGCTAACTCTTAGAATGCTAAACTAATTTCCTGGCTGCAGAGGTTCCAGGAATGAGGGCACAGTAGCACAGTACTGATAAATAAAGCTGTTAAAGAATAAAAATTGACAGACCTAGGCATAAGATCCTTCAGATAAACAACAACAGAATTCACTGACCTGCTCACTGGATAACATTTTTAAATACACTGATCCAAGAGTAATAAAAAAGGTAATGCGATAAATATCAGAGTAGATGTACTCAATATAGGAAGGAAAATTACCTGTTTAGTTGGTATTTTTTGTGAAGGACCTTCATTTCTTAAACCTTTAGAATCTTCTTTGACTATAAATACATTTGTTCAAAGCATTAGCATAGCAGAAAATGCTTCATTCCTGCCTTTAATAAATCTACAGTCATCAAAAATACTCTATTTATCTAGTTACACTGGAATAGAACTACCTTTGAGTACTTACTAGCAGCATACTTTTTTTTTCCCAATGTAAAGAAAAAAACATCAAATGCATGTGACTTGTGTGGGGAATATGATTTTTACTTTTGCTGCAAATGACTGCATCCAAAACATCTATTAAAAGTGTGATAAATTTAAAATAAAGCAGGTAAACTGCTTGACTAAAAACTTGCAGGGTTAGTTGTGGATTAATTTAACATGCTTAAAACAAACAAGATCTGGTCCCATGGAGTTCAAATGGACCAGGATTTGACGGAAATAATCATAATCAGGGGGTTGTAAACCATGAATGAAGTATAGCCCTCTGCTTGTAAAATACTCATGATAAAGAAAATCCAGTAGATACTTTAGCAATCAAAAAGAAAAATCAAACTTTTCCAACCTAAGTTTCTAATTACAGTACTTACACTTTTTAAATGGCTCCTGTTTTTTTTGCTGGCCTTTAAAACTGTTCTCACTGAAGCCTGGTTTATAAAATTGGTTACCAGGTCCTGGCTTTGCTTCTTGAGGTAGAATTGTGCCCTAGGAATTGAAACATTAACACACTGAATCTTAACCACAAGGGAGGTATGGGAACATTTACAATACTAACATCAAATCAGTACTTCTCTCCAGGATTCTGAATGAGGCCATATCTTACTATGCAACGCTAATATTTAATACTGACCTGAAATCTTTAAATGAGTGCTATATTTAGTAAACACTGATTATCTTCTGGACTTTTTACTCAACTGTCCATTTATAATAATACACATGCAGAATACTTCTACTTTGAATGGACTTACATGAAAATGTTGTTCACTATACCAACCTTTGCATGCATGTTTTGTTGAACAGGCTGAGATTTCCCAGAGCCTTGCAATGATTGCCAGATGCTGCAAAATTCATCATCTTGTTTACTGTGAGCCTGACAAAAGATAAAAAAAAAAAAACCCCTATAAATTTAATTCAACTAAATCACAAATTTATCAGCAACAAGGAAACTGAATCAGAACACTCACTTTGTTTTTTTGATTGCCACCCAAAACTGATCCCTTCTGTGGTGAACTGCAGTTGCCCTGATTTTCAGACCTGAGATTATAATGCTGTCTTCCATTCAGTTGCTAAATCATTCATCAAATAAAAACCAAAACCAAAAAACAAACAGATCAGAGATATCTAACTGCTTTAAATTCTCTGTAATGCATGTTTCTTCCACAATATAGGTATGTATGGAGACAAACTCATCCATCTAGCTCTTATTTTCTTGAAAAAAAACACTTAGGTAAAATGAAAAAAATAAATAAGGTCTATGACAACTAAGACTTATCCATGTCTGCCTGTGTCATTCTGTGTACTACATTTGAAAAACAAATTGATTTCACATAGAATTGCAAGACAGCATAGGAAACTTTAGGTTAAATTCTGTTCATCCACAGCAATGATACCACACTGATCTGGAGAAATCATGACATGGAATGGCAGCTGAAAAAAAAGGACTGTTATCTGTCTGTCAAGGTTGCTAATAAAAAGGGTATTTGTTGATGCTAACTGCTGCTGTGGAAAGCTGTAACACTTCAAGCCATTTTAAAAGAGGCATATCTTGAATGGCATCAGCTCTTCTGATTTAACCATTATGTTTATCTACTTCTACAACAGTATAAATTGACTTGAGCTACTGTAATTTTAGACACGTTTGTTCAAGTTCAAAACTGCAGCAGTTTAGCTCAGTTACACATAAAAAGAGAGGACAGACATAACAGGAAATATATGGGAATACCTTATACCCAACAGTGGCTTATTAGCTTATTCATTAATTGATTATTAACTTAATTTATGCAGGTTCACATATTATTTTTACAATGTGGACACTTGACTGATAACAATTTATGGGACAAGGACCATGAAACTGCTGCCAAAAGGAAAAGGTTTCACTCTTGCATGGATCTGAACAACTGCCTCCATAAACACTCCATAGGACTGAATTACTAAGCTCTGCCTAAAAATGATGAGGTAAACCAAAGTTGTCAGACTCCATGAAGATCCAAATCAAAGTAACAGCTACGTCTAGAGAAAGAGATAAATGACAGAGAAAGATCTTACTCGGGTAGGAACAAAAAGAGAACGAGGAGAATGGTTGAGGCCTCCTAGATGCACCTTTTGTGAGCATACAGATGATGGATCAGATGAGTAAGAGTTATATTGATTCACAGCTGGTTGCGGTTTCACTATGGCTGTCAATTTCTGGTTGCCTGTTTCTGACCGATTACCATGAGACAGATTAATTAAGGCACTTGATGGTAGACGATAACCTCTGGCAGGTGAGCACCTAAAGAAAAATAGAAAAAGACAAAATAGTTTCATGTAATCATATCAGCTGCTTGCAAACATTTAAAAAGACCCCCAAAACAGCAGTATGCTTTAAATTTGGTGCACTCCCATACTGAACCCAGCGCATGTCCAGAAGAAGCATCACTTTAGTTGGACCCAGTTCACCTAATGTCTATATAGATTGGACTCTTTACTGGAGCTTTTTTGGTACTTTTATCTAATAGCTAAATAGCTAATAGCTAATAGCATGATTAAATCAGCTATTAGATAAAGCACCAAAAAGCCATGTTGAAGCATCTGATCTATAAAGACGCTGCGGAACCAGGTAAAAGTAGTGTGCTGCTTCTTTCAGTAAGTAGTCAGGGAGGCCTGATGCCTTGATATAAGGGAAAAAGAAATGGCTGCAGGAGATCCAGAGGGAATTACAAAAGAAGCTGTCCCTCCTGCGATAAGGATGTGCAAGGAAAAAAAAAACCTATTAGAATGAAGTAGGAGCCATAGATAGGTATTTTGGACTCCTTAGCATGTAGAAAGCTGTTAAGAATTTCTGTTGGCTGACACTCAGACTACATTAATAATCCACTCCTAGAAAGAGAGAGCAAATTAAACATATTGGTTGTGTTGGTTTAGTTGCAGAAATGGAGAAACTAAGGCAGGCAGCACTTTAAAAATGAAAGTTTTATTATGAAGCAAAACTTTGCAACAAGGCAAATTCTGCTGCTATGGAACATAAAGGGCACTGCTTACGCTGTTGTATTCACTGCTCTGTTCTGTTCTTTCGTAGCTGCTAATAAAGTGAACTTGGGTTCATGAAAGCTTGTGAACTTTACATATTTTATTCACTCTAAGAGAGAGGTTGGGAACGTTTCTGGGCAGAATGCCAAAAACACCCGTAACCTCTACTTGTAAGATGTTGGAGTGTCTGGGATGGACAGTGGGAGAGAAACGAGGGGCCTGATACTTGTTGTGGCAGTACAGCCCTGGCCTCTTCCTTGCCATCTGTTCTAAGGCATGCATGCCAATCAAAATGCCTTAGCATGCCATGTTCTGGCATGCATGCCTGGGGTTGCCTACTTCTTGTCTATAAGGTGCATATTCAGCTTCCCTGTCTAACTTAGGACTAAAACAACTAGTTACTAGGGATATGTGAAGCTTCGGTCCCCAATTTGATTCGGTGGAGATTCGGCCCGATTTGGTGGCCGAATCTCCGAATCCAAGGACCCTTTAATCTCTCCGAATCAGAACCCTCTGAATTGATTCGGAGAGATTCAGAAAGATTCGGACAGAGGCAGCTTTAAATGTTTTTTCTACATACATCTAGGTAGCAGGGGCTCATGAATGCTGCAATACTGGGGCGCATGGAGTATCCCACAGAAGCACGGGGAGCTCCCCAGCGCACTGAGCAGCAGACCCAGAAGTGGACCAGAACCACTTCCGGTCCACTTCCGGGTCCACTGGGGAGCATGCTGGGACTCCCCCGCCCCCCCCCACTCGGCAACTGGTGCCTCCTGGGTCGGGGGGGGGGGGGGGCACCTGGGGCCCCACGGCGGCCAACTGCTGACGCAGGGGGCCCCTCCAGCATGCTCCCTGGCAGACCCAGAAGTGGACCTGAAGTACTTGCAATCCACTTCTGGTTTCACCGCCAAGCACGCAGCCCCCTCCACGCGCTCCTGTGGGACACTCCATCTGCCCCAGCATTACAGCAGTCACAAGCTGCTCCTGCTACCTCAACGTATGTAGAAAAAACTTCTAAAGCTGTGTCTATATCCGAATAGCTGATTCTTCAGATTTGGATTTGGCCAAATTGAATCAGGGACAGTGATCCAAATTAACGAATTGAATCACTGTCCCCGATTTGGGTCAAATCCAAATACGAATCAAATATATGAATCGAATAAGGCCCGTTTCGCACACCCCTACTAGCTATCCTCTTTTTATAGTTACTTACCGTATTTCACGGTGTATCGGTCAACCCCCAGCTTTCCGATCTGAAAGGTGAGGATTTTCATTGGCATGGTGTATAAGTTGGGGCTGTGGTCAGAGCTCAGCTGGTGTGGTCCCATCCTTTGCAAGCAGTGCTGCCGGCACCACTCACAAGGAATGAGGCCACGCCGGCTGAGTGCTGAGCCTGTCCCCATCCCTTGCAAGCAGCATGTCCCCAACTGAATGCTGAGCCTGGCCCTGGCTCCATCCCCTGCAAGCAGCGCTGAGCCCAGCACTGCTCGCAGGGAATGGGGATGGGGCTGGACTTGGCTGGTGTGACCCCATCCCTTGTGAGCAGTACTGTCTGGGCCACACCAGCACTGCTTACAGGGGATGAGACTGCACCAGCCAAGAACTGAGCCTGGCCCCACCCCTGCAAGCAGTGCTGGGTTCATAGGGGATGGGGCCACACCACCCAAGCGCCGAGCCTGGCCCTGTCTGCTGCGAGTGGCACTGCCAAATGCTGAGCCCACTGCTGTTTGCAGGGGATGGGGACAGGGTTGGGCTCGGCTGACACTACCTCATCCCCTGTGAGTGGCACCAGGCTTGGTGCTCAGCTGGTGCAGCCCTATCCCCTGTGAGTAAGCTCTGGTGTGGCTGAGGCAGCATCGCTTGCAGGGGATGGGGCTGTGCCAGCCTAGCGGTGAACCCAGCTCCGTGCCTGATTTTTTGATGTGGCATGGTGTATAAGTCAAGTTTGATTTTTAAGACCCCAAAACTGGGCTTCAAAACCCAACTAATACACTGTGAAATATAGTATATTCAGTATAATCAAAATCATTCACTCTTTTATGGAGGATTTTGGATATTATTTTTCACATTCAGGTTACACTATTATAAAAACAAAGTGCTCTATTTAAAGTGTGATGAAAGACAGTCAACTTACATTTTATAAATGATTTTAATTTAGAAGCAAATCAGAGTGAGGTTCTGGTCCAGTGAACACTTTCCTGAAACACGTTCTGTTTTTGTGAAAGTGACCCTAGCTCAAAGAGTGAGGGAGAGAAATAAAGAAAATCTAAGCAGTAAAAGCAGATTTGACCAACTACATAGAGAAAAGGTTCTCTGGAGAGGCATCTAAAAATTTTCATACTAGTCAATTTAAAGCCAGCAATTATAAAATTCAATTATTTATAAGAAGGGCATGAAATCAGTACAAGCAAACAAACCTTATTGTTAAGCCTCCAAGGAATTCTTCATCAAACAATACTTCAAAGAGCACATCTGTTTCTCTATTGGCTGCAGAAAAATGAAATACATGGTAAGAAACCATCTATGTCTCCAACTAGTATTAACTACATTTAGTGTTATGAAAAGACAGAAAACTCCAAATTATGAGCTTGACTATTAGGAATAGTTTTTTCTACTTTCCCAAAATGCCGCTGATCTTTGCTTTTGGTGTTTATTAAGTAAATGAAATGAATGTAGTTTTCCCTGTTAATTGCTGACTCCTGTATAGTTTAATGCTGAAAACATTTTTAAACAGTATTTAGTTCATTCTCTTTAACAGAACGCTGCTCTCATCTGGAAGCAGGTGCAATGGGAAGACCTTACAACTGCAACTACCAATCTACTGCCAAGAACCAGAGGAAATCCATGTACATGGTGATTAAATGATATACACTATCTCAGTAATAAATTTAAAGCAAAGTCATCATAGGAAAGAACGTTTTTAAAGGCCTTAACCACAAGAATTAGGTTTACCTGAAATGATTTTTTCACAGGTTTAAGAGGTGACTTTTAAAATGCCAGACTAATAATAAAATCTACTGTAATGGTCTTCATGTTTTTCATGTATAATTTAAACAGATCTCTCATATAAGGTGGTCCTGACTGTGTTGGGATCACAACAGGAGCATCATAACCATTAATACAAGTAGCCTTTGCAAGCTGCACTACTGTTCCTTTGGCAGTGGGTTGCCAGGAGGCATGCACAGCCTGACAGGGTTGTCCCTGGAATGAGTCAAAATGCATTTGCACACACAATATATGTGTGGGGGGGGGATGCAGAGTGTTAGCACATTTCATCTTGCATCATTCATAGGTACTTAAAGTAGGACAATGGATTTGTATGTCTGTAGAATCCCAGGAAAGGCAGGTCCAGGGGCAAACCAACAGGTAGTGGGAACCACCCCAGGGAGCAAAGGTGCTTGTCCAGTATTTCTCAGAAAACAGATCTTACTAGTTGTGCTTTTGCATCTAAGTACTTCAAAACAGGTGGCAAAGTGTTATGAAGGATCCTGGTGGCAGAGAAAAAACAACTGCAAGAGACTCAGTAGAAAAGAAGAACTGAAACAGGAGCCAAAGCAGATGCTAAGAACTTCTGCCCAGTGTTAAGATGAGTTGTATTTGCTGCAGTCCTATATCCAATCCAAACTTTAGGATTTCCCTCATTATAATTCTCTATTCATTCTATTATCCTTTTCTTTTTACTTTTGCATTTATCTGCCCAAACATTCCTGATTTCTCTTTTTGAGCTATCATTTTTTCACTGATTTTTCCATCTCACTCTTATTAAGGGAGACCAAAGGGTAAGTAGTTCCTCATTTGAGGATAGAACCATTTAATATGCAAAACAAAATGACATCCTGAACCTCCAGGTTAGAGCTGGACTGTTCGTTCAGTTATCATATTTTAAATTCACACCTTATGCTGAAAAAACTTTCAAATGTAGAAAATCCCTTAAATATGCCAGTAGGAACCTGAAGTATAATTACAACTTGAGTGAAAAAATTTAGTATTGTTTATAACTATTTAATGAAAAAAAAGTGTTGCTTTCATATCAACAATATAGCCGATATGTGATTGCTATTATAGGGAAAAACTTTACCTCCTTTAATTCCTACAATGGTACCTCGGAGACCAACTGGAACAGAGAAGTTTTCCCTCACATTGACAACACGATCAAACAGACGATACTCTGCATCTCGATCTGGAACAACCCCATTCTGTTGTTCTAAAGGCTGATATTAACCAAAAGACTACATTAATTCTAACAAAAAATGAAGAATAAAATCAGACTAAATTCATAACTATGTGAAGCAGTTTTAAAACTTTCTAAAAAAGTTCTGTAACAAGATTCCATATTTTTCAGGAAACAAAATTTTGAATTGTTCTTGCAACAGTTATGTAGAAAGTTCATAAGCCATAACAGAAATAATATAATAGCACTGCAGTCGTGGAGCTACCATGCTACTCATGAACAGGTCCAAAGAGTTAAGAGAAGGCAACATAGTGATATACAAATTCAGCCTGCCTTGTCCCAGTACCATGGCTATCTATGAGAAACCCAAGAGAATCAAAAGCAGGTTGCTGTGAAGTACCTTGTATTCTTTCTGCATATTACAAAACTGTGGAGGAAAGCTGTAGGTTCAAGGAGGCAAAGCAGAGTTGATGTACTTAACAGAGTTCAGTTGGTAGAATTTCTTTTCCTTTTCTAAAAAAAGTAATTGCTATTGCATATCACCATGTTCAGGCTGATTCTCTAGAGCAGGGGTGCTCAAACCCTGCCTCGGGGACCAGATCCAGCCTGCAAGGCTCCCCCTGGGTCCAAAAATTTGGTGTCAGGGGAGTGGTGATAAAGTTAATTGCCAATTCCCTGCTGCTAAATTTCTGGGCCCATGGGGAGCCCTGAGGCCCAGATAGTGTGGCACTGTGTATTTCATTTGGTGTACAGTGCAGGTCCCCCATCAAGGCATGCAGGGCCAGGTGAGGGTGGTGCTGGCCCAACCTAGGCAGGGGCAGCATGGGCCTGATCTGGGTGCATGGGGCCCAAAGCAGCCTGTGAATGGGCTTTGTGCCACTCATCCAGCCACTGCTCTAGAGCACCTCAATAAATCTCCTTCAAGTTATGCAATAGAAATGTTTTTACTTTTTGAAAACTGATAAAAGTATTTAATTTAACAAATCTGACTTTAAGCTTTAAACAGATTTAATGTAAAAAGTAATTTTATTTTTAAACAAAAAAAGCTTCTCAAATCACTTACCCTATATAACAAATGGGGTTTCACTGTCACTCGCACCTTCTTGTTACTCTTTCTTTGCTGGAGGAAAGAAACAAACCAGGAGTTTAAAATGTGATTTGGTGAAGTTTGAAATGTATGCCATTGTTTTGTAATATCCTAAATTAAGATTTTCATTAACGAGAAAGGAAGTCAGTTTAGAAACTGAATTCCTCATTCAATAGGAAAAATTAGATTAGAATTTAAACTGGTTTCAAAGTGATTTCACAAGAAAATAGTACCAAAAAAATTAAATCCTTAAGCTATAAATTTAAGGTGTGTTCAAATTGAAACACATTACTCAAGTAAGCAATATTCAACTTGGAAGATGTACTTTAGAAATAAGGGTATTCCTAATTAGGGACATATAGCTGTCACAAGACTTAGAATCATGCTACAAATTTGATATTAAAAAGTCCCATCTTTAAAATAACAGGACTTTAACATTTTAACTATAGAGGTTAAGAAGTCAGATGTGTGTATTTAATGGATCCCAAGAAAAATTAAAAGTTAACATCACAAACTGACAGAGAGCAGATTTAGGCTAAATATCAGGAAAACTTCTTCATGGTAAGGCTGGCCAAAATTTGGAATGGGCTTCCAAGGGAGGTGGTGCTCTCCCCTACCTTGAGGTCTTTAAAAGAAGGCTGGATAGGCATCTGGCTGGGGTCATCTGACCCCAGCACTCTTTCCTGCCTAGGCAGAGGGTCAGACTTGACGATCTGTTGAGGTCCCTTTTGACCCTAGCATCTATGAATCTCTGAGTCACTTACCTCTGGAATCTAGCAAACAACATATAAAATATCAGCCACATCTCATGGGACTTCATGGCATGGAAACTAACAGTCCATTTAAAACTTGACCTTGCTCTTACATACTTCCCTGCCCCCTTAAAGAGAATTTTTATATTTGCCATTCCAAAGAATTCAAGTCGTTTTATTGTAGTTTGAATAAAGTACTTGGAAAAATATGCACAATTGTTTTTAGTTCATTATGAAGTAAAACATTTCATACCTTGCATTTCTCTATTTCTTCTTCAATTTTCTCAACTATAGCTGCATCCAAAATTTGTAAGTCACAAGATGAGCGAGACAAAGCACTGACAGGATGTGCTTTCAGCCAGGCAACAATTTCTTGAACTCTCTCAGCCCTAGGCAAAAGCGGATTTCACACAAATCAAAATGGTTGAGGGTTTACATAGTATGCACCACACCAGGTTCTTCTGTTTGTCACCCAGCTACTAGAGTAATAGGCCTGCTTACAAATGCATGTAAGTGTTGATAAGTATTGCAATACTTTTAGCAACAAAAAATTTAACTGAACCATAAAAGGCTTCAAAAGTATAAGCCCAGAAATTCTACTTTCCAGACTGAAAATGACTATTTAAAAAAAAGAAAAATATTAAAACTAGCCACATGAAATGAACAAGAACAAGAATTTAAAAAAGCTATAACTGAACTGTACAGATGTGAAATTTGAAGTAAATATTTGGGTTCCAGAAACAAAACGTACAATGCCTTGATAATTTTGTCACAGTCATCCTAGAATGATTCTGTTCCTACAGCCAGCTTTTATAAAAAGGCCACTGTTATGTGCTGGCATCCATTTTCAGCACTCTTAAATCTCTCCTGCTCTCACTTTCCTGTCCACCCTTTCATGCTGGGCAATCTTCCAGACTTCAGATACTTCAGCAACTGGAGTATTTTCAAACATTTTTACTACATCAATATTTTGAGCTTAGTATTTGGGACAGGATGGTTCCAACCATTCAGAAGTAACTGTATTTTTTTTTGCTCTTGTGTTTATTGCATCAATAACTAGATCAATTGTTAGGGACTATTTATTGGAGAGATGTAAACATAGCTCACCCATTCTCATCCTCACCAGGCCAAATGTCATCTTCAAAAAATATATCTTCTTGACTATTTTTGGCTATATAACTGAAGAGTTCAGGGACCCTAATAACAAAAATAATAATAATGATGTCTAGTTTCATAAAGTCACAAATAAATTATGATAAACTTCAAAACAATCCCAAATAAGTAATGCAATAGCTTTTTAGTAAAGTTGTCTCTTATTTGCTATATTGCTGGTGTAATCTGCTGACAGACACAAAATCAGAGCTCTGCCCTAAAACCATTCCTCACTAGGAGAATGGAAGAAAAGGGAATTTCTCATGTGCATCTTACAAACCCAAGATGCAACAGTGGATGGCTCTAGAAGGGTCTGTACAGTTCATTTTGGCTAGAAGAATAGATTGTTACAACATGGGAATATTTAGTAAGGGAAGTAAACTGAAAAATCTTGTATGTTCCATCTCTAACCTCACAAAATAAATTACTTGAGTTGCACGACAAAATGTTACGTACTTATAGGAATGAAAAGAAGGTTCTGGAGGGGAACACCGCCGGGATGGGAAACCACTCTAAATCCCCAGGGCATCTTAAGATGTTTGTTTTCTAAGCTATTTCCCCACACTCTCTCATTCACGTTGTAGTTCTACATTACCGTCTCTGCCAGAGGGTAACTTTAATATATAAGGGACTATAGAGTGATTAAGTGTTCTTTTCGTTATGATTTATCATGTGCACTGCATACTGAGTGACAGCAGTAGTAGTCTAACGATGTAGCAGAGTAAATACTGGAGCAGGGCTTTCCAGCTGGCAGTAACATGTGGCCCATGAGAGGTTAATGTGCAGCCCTCAGACTCTTACCCACCTGCCAACGCCTTATCTCTCTGACAGCTGCTGCAGTCAGGTCTCCAGGCTCTCCAATTCCAGGAAGTTTCCCTTCCTGCTCCTACACTAGGGGGTATGGTGGTACAATCTATAACTGGTCTGGTCCTGCAGGAAGCAAACCAGGAAAGCCAAGGCTGCAACTGAACTCCAACTAGCTTTGAGCATCAAGGACAATAAAAAGTCCTTTTTCAGGTATGTGGGGAGCCGGAGGAAAAGCAAAGGCAACACTGGACCCCCGCTAAACCACATGGGGCAACTGACAACTGACGCCCAGGAAAAAGCCAACCTATTAAATGGGTACTTTGC